GAGACATAAACTATTAAAATCCTCTGCAACCTAGGTACACCCATGATTTTAGTATCTTATAGTGGGAGGCAAGGAAAGGACCTGAGACATTTACCTAAGAAGAAAAAAAAAAAAAGCAAATACTCTACCTCTGGATTCATAATCCCTTCTTTTCTAAAGCAGCTATAAAATATGTCCATGGAAAACACTTCACTCCACAAGTATCCATAATACTGGGCATCATAGCCTCCTGCCAAGTGTCCAAAAGTTGCTGGCATGTTTGTACCTTAAAAGAAACATAAAGACAAATCAATGCCATGAATGAAGTGAACAGTTAAGAAACTCTCAGCTGGCTAAAGTTTCCATGCTGAAGGGGGGCCTGTGGCTCTGACTTCCCCAGTAGTAAGGCTTGGATCTTTGCCCTTGGATCAAGGTGTTTACAAACGGCTCTCTTATCTTGGGCCCCAGCTTAGAGCTGGTTTCAGCTTTTAGTTCAGGAATGTCTAACGATAGTTTCAGAGGCCCTGCCCACGCCCTTTGGATGTTTCCTAGCTCCTCGTTCTTCCCTCTTCCTTCAGATACTCATCTGTCTCTATAATGCCTAGTAATCATAGTCCTGCACCATCTCTTCATATTTTAAATAGTAACATGGGCATTAAATGTCTCAGGACTGCAATTGGGTTTTAGGATAATAACCACTTGAATGGATATCTTTCATTTGAGAGCTATCAAAAGTGTCTCACTAATTAAATTTAATTTGCTAATTTCTACCACAAAACTGTCAATAGCCTCTCTAACTACCACGGGGAATAACAATGACCCAAGGCACAAAACTGCCCTGTGAATAGTCATATAAGTTAGATGACTGATTCTGATTACTCCAATCTCTTTTCTATCTTTATATGTGGCTGAATCACTTCAATAAATATCTCCTTCATGAGTATCATTGTCCTGTCTTGTTGTATCTCACAGGGAACACAGAGTTAGAAGGGACCTCAGAGGTCATCTAGTTGAACTCCCTTACTATACAAATGAAGAAACTGAGGACCACAGAGGTTAATTGACTTGACCAAGGTCAGAGAGTTTTGTTGTTATTTCTTATTCACCTCATACCACTATACCCACCATATCTCAGATTAGGGGTGGCTAGTGAGGTTAAAAAAAAAAAAAAGGAGGAAGCCAGAGTCTGCCAGTCCAATAAATTCAAAATAAGTCAGGTCAAACTATGCTTAATTTTTTGTTTCAGCCTTTAGGAGTCTGTGCCTCTGTAGAAGGATTTGTGTCCTTCCTTTCCAGCAGCTCCTTCTAGAGAGGAAGGGAGCATTGCACAGGTGAGCACCCAGGAGGCAGGAGTGTCTTCCCACCCCTCTAACTTTGACTCTTGTCTCATTGTAAAAATGGTGTTTCAAGAGGCTGTCCCCTGTGAAGGGGAAAAGAACAATTTCAAGCCATTTTGACAGGGTATCTTGGAAGCACCCTTGTTCTTATTGGAAGTAATTATGACCTCACAGAGATTTGAAAAAAAAAATCCAGATATGATTAGGTCATCAGTGGCTCCCAATTGCCTCCAGGATCAAATATCAAATGCTCTGTCTTTTAAAGCCCTTCCCTGCTTTACATCATACTTTCCTTCTCATACCTTACTCTCCCACCACATAAGAGACTCTGGCCTCCTTGCTGGTCCTTGAACACTGCACCTCCCAACTCTGCATTTTCACTGGCTATCCCCCATTCCTAGAATTCTCTCTCTCCTCTTCTCTGTCTCCTGGTTTCCTTCAAGTCTCAGCTAAACTCTTGCTTTTGGCAAGAAGTCTTTTCCAGTCCTCCATTATGTTAGCACCTCCCCTCTGAGAATATCTCCAATTTATCCTGCACATATCTTGTTTGTACATAGTTGTCTGCATAATGTTTCCTTGTGTTAGGTTGTAAGCTTCTTTAGGGCAGGGACTGGTTTTGCCTTTCTTTGTGGCCCCAGTGCTTAGTAAAGTATCTGGAATAATAGTAAGCCCTTAATACATGCTTCTTGTCTTGATTTGATTATCTTCTCTAGCAGGGTTATGCTCATACATACCCTAGGCTGCACAGAAAAAAAAATAATAACCAAACCAAATCTTTGCATTTACATACCTGGGGTAGCTGAAATGCCCAGAATCTCTGAACAGTATTTGGCATATTCCTTTGAGGAGTCCAACGATGCATCAGTATGGAGAGCTTGATCAACTTTGCTCAATACAATCTGGCGGAGGGTCAAAAGACCTAATAGAACAAGAAGGGGGAGAGGTAAGATTTTTGACAAAGTAGAAGTGTGTGTTCTAGCATGCTAAGATCACAGATTCCAAATACTGATTCCAAAAGAAATAATCACCTTCCCTGAAGAATAAGAACAAGTTACAAATTCCTTGAAAGAGTATTTCAGCATGTAAAGGCTAATAAACTTCTCCCTTTAGATTCATTCACAAAGCCTATTTACTCCAGCAAAATTATCTCCCATTATCACTAATGGGTATAGTGATCTTAAGAAGGAGGAAACAGGATGAACGGAAGGGCAGATCAGAATTTTGCACTCAAGTATTCTAGTTTCTTTTCTTCCCTAGCCTTTCCAGCCATACCTGTGTTGACCAGTCGAGAAGCAACAAGTTTTTCAAGGAGATCATCTGTTACAGGGTTCCCATCTTTATAGTGCTTTGAGAGGCGACGGAGGGAATCCTTGTCCCACACCCAGTTCTCAAGCATTTGGGAAGGCACCTCCACAAAGTCTGTTTCCACATTAGTTCCACTAAATCGAGCAAAATCAGTCTGGAAGGAAAGACATATGGGCATTTACAGGAGGAAAACCTAAAAATATAAAATAATTGCAACCTATATTTGTAGGGTTTACAGAATGTATTGTTATATTGCTGGATTCTCACAGTAATGCTATTAAGTAGCTAGCTAGTATAACTCTTATTATCTCCCTTTTCAGTAGAAGTAATGTGACTTACCTGGCTTTTCAGGGGTCATAGCTAGCCCTGGAATCCAGGGTCTTTTGACTCCAAATACATAGTTCTCTTCTATGTAAGAAACAGCACTACACCATTTCTCCCAAGTCACTTGGCAGTTAATTACATTCAATAAAACTGGAATAGAAAGAACCCAAAACTAATAATCATAACCCCACACAAATTTATATGGCACTTTATCATATACAAACTCTGGGAGGCACGACTTACATGGATTACATGTACATGTACTAATATGAGGAAACTAGTATGAGGATACAGCGTTGGACCTGAAGTCAGGAAAACCTGAGTTCAAATCCAGCCTCAAACACTTCGTAGCTGGGTGACCCTGGGCAAGTCATTTAACCTTTGCTTCTGTTACTCAACTGTAAAATGAAGATAATTTCATCTACCTTGCAGAGTTGTTGTGAGGATTGAATGAGATAATGCTGTAAGGTGCTTAGCACAGTGCCTGGCATACAGTAGGTGCCATATAAATGTTTATTCTCTTCCTCTCACATGTAATTTTTCTCCCAGACTATTGGCTTAGGAAAGTCTCTGGTGAGGAAACTCACTCTATCAATGCAGTCCAGTATCTGTCCTGCAATTTACTGCCTTAGAAAGATATCTGGGGCACTGAGAATACTGACTTGCCCAGGGTCACAAAGTCAAGATGTGTCAGAGGTGGACTTGACTCAGGCCTTTCTGACTCCACTATGCCAAGCTGGCCTTTAGTACTTGTATTAGTAAGTTTTTTACAGATGGGGAAACTGAGACTTAAAGAGAAGACAGTGATCGAGGTAATTAACTTTAGTGCTGGAACTAGAACTCTAGTCTGATTTCAAATCCAACCCTCTTTCACTCTGACATTGCCTTTTACACACAAATCAAATAAAGCTAGAGTCAACTCTGCCCTTTAAAAAAGCAATATTAAAACAACCTCAGGCATTCAAATGAAAATAAAATATTGTATTCAAGCAGCATGAAAAATAACCTGCTGAATAATCTATACTGAGCAATTATTTCATGATTCCTCAGCCTCAGCCTCTTGAAAAATCACCAGGAAACCATGACTGATGTGAATATTGGCCCGTACTAAAAATAAAAAATAAAACTCTTCACCTTGAAAGTCAAAATATTCTAAAGAACTTTCCATTTAAAACAAAGAGATCCATAATCCAGGAGAGGCAAGTTTACCTCAACTCCCCATTCCAGCTGCTCACTTATGTTTATTCAACACATGCCTTCCTAGAACACTCATCACCCTACCGCTTAAGTACTCAGTTATAGTCAACAATCAAAGAGTTAAATTACAGTACTATGAATTGCCTCCATATTTATTTTTTATTCATTTTTGGAGGGAGAGGAAGAATTATAATCTAAGTTCAACGACTGTACATTTATACTCTCTGAAGAAATGAAAATCAGCCACGGTGGCTAGGTGATGATTTGGAAGCTGCAAGACCTGATTCGGATGCTTATTTGCTGTGCTTACTACTTGGGTGACCTTAGGAAAGTCTCTCAAACTTTTCCAGTTTTCTCATTTGTTATAAAATGGTGCTGGAGGAGAGAAAAGATAATAGCACCTACTTCCTAGAATCAAATGAGATGATATATGCAAAGAGCTATGTAAATCTAGCTATTATTGCTGTTGTTAGGTGTATAACAAACCTGAGTAGATGGAAAACTTTACAAGTAAGGAATTATGAAGGAGAAATGGTGGAAAGAATGTCATCAAAGAAACTATGGATGAAAAAGAAGACCTACTAGCCAGGGCTAAAAGCACAGGATCACTGAGCCCAGGTGCTCCAAATATATCACCGGAGAACATCAAGAAGACGTGAAGAAGGCCCAATCAATCAATCAATAAACATTTATTAAGTTCTTACTATGTGCCAGGGTAGCTAGGTGGCACAGTGGACAGAGTGCCAGACCTGGAGTCAGGAGGACCTGAATCAAATCCGGTTTCCAGGCAATTACTAGCTGTGTGACCCTGGGCAAGTCACTTAGCCCTGTTTGCCTCAGTTTCCTCATTTGTAAAATGATCTGGAGAAGGAGACAGCAAACCACTCTAGTATCTTTGTCATGCAAATCCCAAATGGGATCACAAAGAGACAGACATGACTGAAATGAATGAACCACAAATGTGCCTTACACCATGCTAAGCATACCAAGGGCCAGAAGACTCCTCCTCCTCATTTAGCTCATTAGCTAGCTCTAATAATGGTGGGTGTGGTGGTAAAAGTTGAATAAGAAATATCAATAAAACTTCTTGACCACATCACCTTGGTTAAGTTACTTCACCTCACAATAGGTAGACCCCAGTGATGAAGTTGTAAGAGGGTGTGGGCAGAAGTCATACAGGATGGACAGGCATGGATGCTCTGGGATCTGCATCACAGAAGGAAATACCTCAATGACATCAGCTAACCATCTGTGCACAGATCATTAAGAAGAAAAGCAAAAAGACTAAGTGAGTTTAGGCTCTCTTTTGGGATGTCCACCAAGCACTTGGGTGCTTCAAGACAAAAAGAAAACATCCTTTAGTGGAAAATGAGAGGAATTACTATTTGGGGAGGGGGGAGGAGAGAAGGAGACTTCAGCAGAATGGAGGGATCATATAATTTAGAGAGCAATTACAGGCTTCAGAGATTATCTAATCTAACTTCCTCATTTTACAAATGAGGAAACGGGTCCAGAGAGAAGAAATAACTTGCTAAGGGTCACACAGGTAGGAACTAACATAGTCAGGCTTTGATTCCAAGTTTCTAGTCTATATCCAATGTTCTGTCCAACAGAAGAAAGCAAGCTCCTTTTTTTTTTTTTGGCTAAGCAATGGGGTTAAGTGACTTGCCCAGGGTCACACAGCTAGTAGGTGTCAAGTGTCTAAGGCCAGATTTGAACTCAGGTCCTCTTGACTCCAGGGCTGGTGCTCTATCCCCTGTGCCACCTAGCTACCCCAGAAAGCAAGTTTCTTGAAGAAGGAGATTGTCTCACCTAGCACATAGTAAGTAAGCATTGCAACTCTATAAGAATTTCCTAAAAATAACAATTTTCCAAAAGTAGAGGGGAGTCTTGGGAGTAAGCACATTCTCTGTTATTGGAGGTCTTCAACCAGAGGCCAGATGACCATTTGCTGAGATTGCTGGAGAGGGAACTTCTGAGCAGGTTGGACTAGCTAGGGGGCTTCTGAGGTCTTTTCTAACTCTTAAATTCTATGATTCCATATGTAGGGACCTGAAGTCACAAAGACCTGAGTTCAAGTCTGGGCTCAGACCCTTACTAGCTGTGTCACTTAACCTTGTTTGCTTTAATCCACTGGAGAATGAAATAGTAAAGCACTCCAGTATCTTTACGAAGAAAACCCCATGGACAGTACGGTCCAAGGAGGTCATGAAGAGTCAGACACGACTGAACAACAAAAGAAAAAATGACATTGGAAAAGGTAAAGAAATATTTACTGGTTTTGTATAATAGATTTTAAAAACTAGAACTCTTAAAGCTAGTCAAGCAAAAAACAAACACCTTAGGCAAAAAAAATTCAGTATCACTGGTATGAGTCAGTGCTTTTTAACCTTTTTATACTCTACAGCACATTTGTAAATTGCCACAGGCAGTGGAAACATGGCCTTCTTCCAACTGAGCAGTAGAGAGAATACTGATCATCTGGTCTTTTCTCCCCAAACCTATTCCTATTTCTGTTATACTGTTCTCACTTAGTCCATTTTTATTTCTTCAACATCCTCACCCCTAGGCCTTAGTTAAAGGGGTAACTGAAAAATGATGTTTCTGTCTATAGCAAGAGTTAACAGATGGGATGTAGGATTGGCAGTTCCCACTATTTTGTTCTCTGCTCTAGGCAGGAGCACACATGTCAATCTAGTCTTGCTTTCTGCTGCCCTCTTTTTAAATAAGAAAAACAAAAGATTGCTCAGATTCCTATGAAAACTAGGCTGATTACTGAGGTAGGAACTGCAAGTATCAAAGAATAGAGAGAAGTGGAGGGGTGGAGCCAAGATGGCAGAGAGAAGTCAGGAAGTTGCCTGAGCTCTCCTCAATTTCCCTCAGAAACAACATTAAATTAATCCTCTAAAAGAATTCTGGAGTAACAGAATCCACAAAAAGACAGTGAAGCAATTTTTCTGGCCCAAGATAACTTAGAAGGACTTCAGAAAAGGCCTGTTTCACTTGGGTAAAAGAGGAGTGGAACCCAGCGCAGGCTGGGCTCTAGCGCCAGTACAGCAAGCAAACTGCCAGCCCCAGCATCCAGGGCACAACAGGCGCAACTAGGCTGGGCCACCCTAGTGCAGTGGGCAAGCTGCCAGCCCCAGTGGCCCTGGTGCAGAAAGCTAGTGACCAGCCTCTGGTCCCTAGTACAAGAAACTTGGGACGGTGCCCCATGTACCCCAAGTAGAGCTCAACTTTAAAAACTGAGCAAAAAACAAAAAGATACCTGACCATAGAAAGTTACTATGGTGACAGGGAAGATAAAAACACAAACTCAGAAGAAAACAACAATGTCAAAATGCCTACATGCAAAGCCTCAAAGGGGAATATGAATTGGTCTCAAGCCCAAGAGCTTAAGCTCTTGGAAGAGCTCAAAAAGGATTTTAAAAATCAAGTAAGAGAGGTAGAAGATAAAATTGGGAAAAGAAATGAGAGTTATGCAAGAGAATTATAAAAAAAAGAGTCAACAGCTTGGAAAAGGAAGCACAAAAATTGGCTAAAGAAAACAAGTCCTTTAAAAGTAGAATTGGCCAAATGGAAAAGGAGGCATAAAAGCTAACTGAAGAAAATAATTCCTTAAAAATTAGAATT